TATATATATATATATGTACATATACACATACACACCCCTCATAATCGGTATTGAGTTTTTCCTGCTTGATGGCCCTACTCAAAGTTCAAATAAGGTCTACGCCCCTAGCACACAGTAACATAATTTTTCTGTCACACATTAATAGTGGTGTGTGGGCAGCTGAAGTGGTGGTGTGCCACAAACCGCTGAAGATGATGTTCGGGGAGGCGATGTCTCGCAGGTGTCAGTGACTATTTATGTCAGTCTTGCAAAACGTCAGGAAGCAGCAGGTCCTCAGCTCTGTCTGGAAACACAGCAATGTTCTGGGCAACCTGAGCTGACGAGCTCCAGATGGCTCATTGCTGGTTCTGTGTAACTCCAGACCAGGATCGTGAGCAAGCGCCTCTGTCATTACGGTCCATTTTTAACACCGCTGTTTGAGAGCCTGAAAATGGCTGTCTGATAACATCTAGCAAGGGGTTTGGCATGGATAAGGCACAAGCATTCAATAAAAGTCAAATTACACATTCGATTTCCAGTGCCATTTCAAGTGATCCTCGTGAAGAGTGCTAATGCCTGGAATGGAAAAATACCAGATTGATTCCAGCAGTGATAGTAATCACTAATATGCAGCTATCTGTGTAATAAGCTTGCAATGTCATCCAAAATTAGCCGTGCTACCGTGACTGCATAAGAAATGCTAATATAATTGGACAGGACCTTTTATAGAAACCACAGCTTATGTGTAGACCTTTTTTATGTCCCTGCACAGATAAATGACATAGAGCAGTCCCATATGTCCCAACACAGATAAATGACAGTCATCGTTTGAATACAGATGAGCATCATCCATGAGATGTACGTTTCTGTCTTTTGCTCATCCTTGGTGCTGCCGGTTTATTTTAGCCACAGATTCATCCAAGCAGTGTCCGGGTCATTTCAAAACAGGTTTTCTACTTGACTAGGCCTTTGCAGCATGTCTGCCCCAACACACAAAACACTGCTCCTCAGCCCTGAAGCACAACTGACATGACGGTGCTTTGGCTGCTCACTCGTTCAGACAGGAGAAACGGATGAGGGAGATGATATGTCCATCTTTCTCTACTTCCTCTGGACTAAAGCCTCATGGAGTCTCTGGATGCTTTGGCCGGCACTTTACCTGACATTACCTTTTACAAACTATCTTGCAAAACTTAGTGAGCTATTGCTTGCATAGGCAGAAGATGACTTGAGTTTAGTTTTAACATGTTGCAGAGCTAACCACACAATACTAAATGTGGACTGTGCCTGCAATGCTGCCTTTGTAGGCAGCTAAATAACCTACTGTTTAAAAAAAAGTTTGGGGTTGGTAAGATTTAAAAAATGTTGTTAAAGAAGTCTTTTGCTGACCAAGGCTGCATTTATTTGATCAAAAATACAGTAAAACAGTAATATTGTGAAATTATGTTGATTATAATATTATCTATTGGAATCTATTCCTGTGATGGCAAAGCTGAATTTTCAGCAGCCATTACTCCAGGCTTTAGTGAAATAATTCTTATATGCTAATATGCAAGAAACATTTCTCATCAATGTTGAAAACTGCTTTTTTTTTTTTTTTGGAAACCATGAAGATTCTTTGTGAAAATTCTAAATATAAATCTTTTCTAAGGTCTTTACTGTCACTTTTGATCAATGTAATGCATTCTTGCTGAATAAAAGCAATGCTAATTTTATTCAAAATTATTATATTAACTGCATCTTTTTCCCTCTGACAGCCAGCTTTTTTTCTTTTTTTTTTTTTCTTTTAAAGAGGGTGATATACCACTTTGTTTGTGGATGGTTTAAAATGTTTATTTAATCTTTCAAATCCTAAGGTGCAGGAAAAGTCTTAACATCTTTTTGTTATAGTCTTTCAGGATTTCCTTATCGGGTAGTTAATAAATCTCTCCCTCAATCTTTCTTATTTTTTTATCCTCTGCTAAATGGAGGAATGTATTTGGTGCAATAGGCTGGAATTTCGATTGGAGTTAGACAGGTGCAGCTCCTCCTGCCTCTGTTAGAATGAATAACTAGTCTCACATCCAATTTATGCTCTGACTGTGTTGTTAAATGAACTCTGAAGGCCCGCAATAATACAGAGATTAAATTGGTGTCCCAAATTCAATTTTTAGCCATATGATTTCTCCTGGAATAACTGCCTTGTTTGAAGTGACTTTTTTTTTTTGTAACCGTGACTCTTGAGTTTGAGAGAAGGACATATTGGCCAGACAGCATATGCGTTCTCAGTCACAGCTGAGACTGTGCTATTAGAGGAGTTTTGCTCTTTCAACCTCTCTCTCTCTCTTTAGCTAGCTAGCTAGCATAGCAGTGGGTCCTTTTCTCTCCCTTTTACATTTTTCAAACCGCAAAATGAAACTCACAGCTGGAACTTTGTTCTTATTAATTTATTGAAGCAAAATGATGTCGGAAGACAATGTCATCCATTTTTTTTCCTGCTTAAGGCAGTAATCACAATTCATTCTAGTCAAATTTCTTTCTTCAGATGAGAGGGTTGATTGCATGCGTATTTTCGACAGCCTCCCACAAATCAGCTGTGTAAAACGGACTTTAATATTCTATAAATTAAATGAGCGGTCTCGAGAGGTTAATCTGAAGCCCAAGTTCTGTAGGTTAGAGCCTCTGGCAGTGGCTCTGGTTACGAATGTTTATGAAATTTTAATAAAATGGCATAATGTAGCTCAGGTTCTGGGCCTTATGTTGACCAACCTAAGTGCTTAATGCATTAAAAGGTTTCTGACTTTATAGCGCTTGAATTAAAGAGTTGCTCAAATTGCCATAAATTGTCTTTTTTTTGTCGTCATGTTTGTTTAATATCCTTGCTTTGATTCTTGCCTCAGTCTTATATTTAAATAATTTTTTTGAGCAGCACCTCAAAATAATCAAACCTCTATTAATAATTGATGTAATCTTATGATGAATGCTAACGTTTTAATCACTGTTATGCGACCTGAATTTTACAGTTTCATTATCTTTGAGCAGAAATGGTGCATGTAGGCAGAAAACCAAAGACACTGCCTGAATTATAATGGACTGCCGCATCCGTTTTTTTTTTTGGCTCAGGTTTTCAAAAGCGGTTTTAAGGCTGTTCAAAAATAGATTGTAATTCATTGCCGATTAGCACAGAGATTGATCAGGCTTTTGTTAGCCAGGAAAAGATGTGTAATTGTTACGCAGGTCCTTAAACTGTGTGCCCCGGTTTGTGCTGTAACCCCAAACTCAGGCAGTCAATCTGGTTTCGACTTAAGTCTAGTCTAGACTAATTAGCCAGATGATTAACAATGCAGAGCACTGCTAAACAAACAAGCCACTTCACTTTACCGTGCACAAGCTCATGGTTT